TCCCCACCACATGTTTCCCTCTTGTTTGGATAAACTTCTGTCGGCTACTTGATCAGTAATGAAGCTTTCCAGTGTTTAGGCCAATTTTCAGTCACTGCTGTCTTGGAAAAGATAAAGAAAATTGGTTGGAACAAGGTCAACAGAGAGAAAGTCACTATTTCTAAGTATTATACCAACTGGCTAGCTGGATTTTCCCAATATACATGGATTGAAGAAATGTGGAAAGACCAAATGGGTCATTATACTAGTCATAACAGAGACTCAAGCCATTCTTAATCTTTCATCAGCAGAGATACTTCAGTGCTAAAGTCAACCATTGCTTCAAGTCTGTAGGCCAGGCATTCCTGAACATTTCTGAACAGAGATAAAGCAATATAATTCTCATTATTCCTTTTCAATAAATATATCTTCCTTCTCCCTTTTACATTTTTGGATATTGGTCAAGACTTTTCAGGCAATTCCTATGTGCCCTGTATAAATGATATTTGTGAATTGAGCTGCTTATATTAAATGGATCTCCACCCACATGCACGAGTTAGATTCATGCTATCTGAGTCTCTCCTTTCTTTTCACTGCTTCCAGTATGACATTTAAATTCATGTGTGTGACATATAGGCCCCTCAGGATGGGAGCCTAGACTGTCATAGTCTCCCACCTCTTCCTGTGACTCGGGCATACAGAACTGTAGTCTTTCCCAGAGAGCACCCTGTTCTCCTGTTTTGCATCTATGTGGAATACTGCCCTCTTGCACCTTCTCCAGACGGAATTCCATTTATCCTTCAAGGAAAAGTCATCTTTTCTCCAGGCTGGAGCAGGTATCCCCCGCTGGCCTTTAAGGTCCCCTGGAACATGTGTGGGTGTGGGAGTGGGTGGGGTTTTGACCAGATGCACTGCAGTACCTGGCTGCTTCCCCTATGCTGTAAGCTTCCTGAGGGCAGAGAGGTACAGCTCTCCCCAATTCTCTGGTACTGAGTGCAATGCACAATTTATTACATTAAATCCTACTTTGCCACAGACACCAATGCAATCAGTTTTTTAAAGAAGGAGATTTTGCTGTCTATCGTTACATTATTCCTTAGGACTTCCCTAACTTAGAAAACACTATTTTAGCAATAAAGGGGAAGAGTTTTTATTTAAAAATACTTATGTTCTCAAGTTTAAATTCTTGACCCATAGAATCAAACCTACTTTTTTTATTTTTAAGTTACTTTTAATGGGAACTTTTGGTGATCTATGATACAAGGTAAGGAAATGAATCCTACAGATAGAGCAAATGAAGAGTGAGCAGCTCAAGCTATCCTCAGGCTATTATATGCTAGTGGTGACAAAGATGAACTGGAACTTAATATAATTTCCCTATAAAGAACAGGCTGTGAATTTCCTCTCTTAGATCTCATTATAAGTCTAGCATTTTTTCTGCACTAGCTTAAAATTTCAAATGAATGCTTACTATATGCTGGATACAGTTCTAGCACTTTTGACACATTATGTGATTTAATCTTCACAGCCAACTTATGAGGTTGATAATATAATTATTCCATTTTACAGACTGAAGAAACTGAGGCCTAGAGAGGCTGGATAACTTGACTAAGGTCACACATCTAAGGACAGCTAAATTTGACACAGTAGTGTTGTACCAGAACTTGTGAACAAAGCCCTTCAAATGTCATCTGTGAGATGACCCATTGAAAGGCAGAATCTCACTCGGCCAAATTGGCACCCACTGCTCCTGACTTTGGGCTGCATTCATGGAAAGAATGCATACTTGGGGCTGGGGAGGTGGCTCAAGTGGTAACGTGCTCGCCTGGCATTTGGGGGGCGCTGGGTTCGATCCTCAGCACCACATAAAAATAAAATAAAGATGTTGTGTCCACCGAAAACTAAAAAATAAATATTAAAAAAAACTCTCTCTCTCTTAAAAAAAAAAGAATGCATACTTTATAGCACGACTAAAAGAGGCCTGTTTTGTTAGAGGCTCTATAATCTAACTGAACTTAAAAAAATATATATTTTTTTCAGATTCACACTATATAAAAAGTACCTGAGGGTAGAGAAAATACAGTAAGAGAATTATAGAATGGGACCTTTTATGCAATGTCAATTCCCCGAAGCTTAGCTTTGCCTCCATAAAGATCTGGGCACAAATCTTATGTAGTTCAGTAACACACGCAGATGAAGCTGGTGAGGGCCAGGACTTCAGGCTTTGGTTGTGACAGATGTTACTCAGGAGTTGTTCCCATCTCCCTGCAGCCACTAACCACTGACTTTGCTCCTTGCTCCCATGTATTCTGCCCTACCACAGTCCTCCCACCAAGAGCATCCCATAGGAGGGTAGTTTTGGGGACAGGAGACAGAGCTATACAATTATTCTTAACAGAATTTTCCATTTTGTATTCTCCTCAAAGCAGACCTCTTATTTGGTCCTGATTCCTTCTCTAGTATATGTTAATTCTAACCCTTCTGTTTTCTTTTCTTCTTTTTATTTATTTATTTATTTATTTTTTTTTTTTTGAGAGAGAGAGAGAGAGAGAGAGAGAGAGAGAGAGAAAATTTTTTAATATTTATTTTTTAGTTTTCGGGGGCTACAACATCTTTATTTTGTTTTTATGTGGTGCTGAGGATTGAACCCAGTGCCCAGCACATGCCAGGCGAGCGCGCTACCACTTGAGCCACATCCCCAGCCCCTTCTTTTCATTTTTTAAAATGACAATGAATTTGTAGTTAAGACTGTTTACCATTAACTTTCCTCTCTAGTCACTGAATTGGGAGGATGAGAGTTAGTATTTTTTTAAATGTAATTACTAATATGACATTTAATTTTGGGGTATAACAACCTTTAATATCCTCATGAGCGTATGATTCTTCAGTTTGCACCTATGAACCAAATGTCTTCAGGAGCTCTGAATGGGAAATAGTTTTTTTTGCATACACTGAAATATGCATTGTCTGAAGTTTGTTATAGAAGCTGCAAAAATAGCTATTTTTAAATAGTCCATGAAAAATTGGACTCAGGCTCTTTTATGAATTGTTATTTGATCCTGTAACTAATCCCTTTCACATTAACATCTTTAATAAACATTTGAGCAATATCTGCATTCAGAATATTGGATAAAACTAAGACATCATCTCTATTCAATAGGCTTATATTTTCTCAATAACCTAATTTTGTCTTTCATAAGATATTAATGCTTATGGAAGTCTTACTCTTAATCCTATTAATTCCTAAGCTAGCCTTTAAAAGTGCATGAGGCGATATGCAAAAGCAGTCAATTTCACTGAATTATACATTGAACTGCTAAAGGTAAATCTAAGAATTCAGGATTGCTAAAATGCAGAAATTTACCAGAAAAATATATTCTGGACTGAAACCAAACCCTAGAGCATGATTGGATTAAGTGTTTTTTTTGTTTTGCTTTTTGGTCTCCTGAGGTCACTGGCAAAATGCCAGGATGCACAATGTAGTTGACAAAAATGTGTCTATTTGTTTGCTTTGAACCATAGACCTACTCTTAGAAGAGAAGTGGCTCGCTAGCACTGGGGCCATGTGTAAAGGATCTTTGATAAGCAAGCTTGGAAAGAGCTCAATCCAAGGCCAGGTAGAATCTGGGGCATGCCATGAAGAATCATGAGTGTACCCATAAAAGGAGACAGAAGCAGAATTTGAAGCTTACAGTCTGATTTACTGAGTCACAAGCTCCTAGCACAGGGCATAGCACATGATGTTTTTACTTGTCAGCTATTGATTCCACTGTCGTCATCAAACTCCCAGCCTGTGTGCATATATAGTATCAAAGAAGTTGAAATAGTTTCTTCCCTATCCTTGTTCATTTGATTCAAGTATGCATCATATTTCTGAACTAAGTCTATCTTCTATGTTGCTGTGGAGTTATATTTATTATGTGCCTCATATACTTTTTCAAGTCAATAACTGTATTTCTGTACAGGAATTTTTAATTCAAAGTAGACTTTAAATAGGCTTACAATAAAAATATACAGTCAAAGCAATTTAAAATGAATATGAACTTTACAAAAACTAAAATTGGCCATCATCATTGTATTTATACTAGATGTATCACTACCCAAAGTTTGGGTAAAATTAAAAGTATTTTATGATAAAAGCCCTTAGTGGAGAGAAAGGAATCAAGAAAAAAAATACTCTAATCACAGGTAAGATGTTTCCTAACTGTGAGCTAGTTAGGGAGATTGGGGACCAGAAACACATTCTAAGATATAAAATGGCACAAATTTATATGATCCTATCTTTTTACAAGTAAGCATACTATTTCATCTTCATCAATGACTATAAATGAATTTTAATATAAAGGAAGGAAACCAATTTTCCTGCCCTGCTTTCCCCACACACCCACTCAAGCTATGGCATGCTTCTTTGATTCAGAATTGAAGTTCATTAATTCTGTTCAGCTCTTGAATGCCTTTCCAACTGAATTTGCAAGTGGCAAAGACTATGAAAGGTGTGAGCCCCCCATCTTATACATAGTCAGAGAAATCACTGTTCCCAGAAATGCCCTGACAGCTGTCCACACCAGAGTTCTGGATGGCAGCATGCTCTTTGGGCTGGCAGGACAATAACAGTTGTCTTGGCGTGACAATAGCCAGTTCCTTTACAGCTGGCTAATCTCCACAACTGACATCATTGGTTGGTAGATAATTGCTTTAAGTGGACAGTTTCTTCCTGAGATAACTTCAATAAATTAGGATTTAACATCATACTTAATTACAGGAAAATCCAAGGAAGGTGAACAAGAAAAGGGAGGGGAAGAGAGCCTGGTAGGCCTGTTTTCACTACTTGTTTATGGGGAAGAAGGTAAAGGGTGAAGTGTTTTTCTTTTTCTATTGAATGCACTTGAACTTGCTAACCAGTCTCACAGCCAGTTGGAAAAGGATCCCAGATAAACTACCTGCTCCCTCCGCTTCGTTTTTCACAGGGGTGCTGTACCTTGCTGGATGCTCTGGAAGAACAGGACCTAGGTCATGCTCACCTCGTATTCCTCCTTGAAGCCATAGCCCTCGGCACACTTCATCTGGGTGATGTGTTGAAGGAGGTCTGCCACCCGGATGGCAGGGTGAAGCTGCCCTGTCTGGTAGGGCACATCGGCTGTCTCGCGCTTCTTGTAAGTGTGTGACTGCACCAGGCTGCTGGTATCACTGGCCATCGTGTGGGTTTCATCTAGGAAAAGCAGGTCAGGGAGAAATGAGGGCAAACAAGCCGGCTAAGTCAGGATCCACTGAGAATGCTACGAAGCTGGCTGCTGACATCCCCTCAACCTATGGCTGCAATAATCCCTAGGATGGCTCAGCCATGAAAGAAAAGTTAAATGTTAAGAAATTTAAATGGTGTTGGCAATACTAATAGGAATGAGGCAGAAGTCTTTGCTTTTACAAAGCAGTCCAAACGATATATTGCGTCTACATGGCTCATAATAAGAGACTTTTTGGCCTTTTGGTGCTAAAGTGTATGGAAGTTTGGATCTGAAACTTCAGCAAGACCTGGTGTAAAACCAGTCTTATAGTTTTTTCAAACATCAGTCACCTAGTTTGAATGATGAAGTAAATAAACTCTGTACAAATGTTCTATGAGCAAAATAAAAGTGCACAAAATGGTTTGGCTTGGAAAGCTAGCAATGGGAATGGGGAGCTTAATGCATAAAATCAAGGAAGAGTGAAAAAAAGAAAAAGGGAACCTGATTTGGGTATAACATTTAGATGAGTCACTTTGCATGCTCCAGTATCAGAAAGCTTGACAAAATACTGTGGTCTAACACATCACACATGGAATGTTCTACAATAGCACACATGCAGGCCAGCGCAGGGTAGCACAGCTGGCTTGGTCAGATCTACAGTAAGACACACACTCCCACTCCCTCCGCAACTTTTCCATGGGACAAATGGGGGAACTTACCATTGATTGGCACTTTTAAGAAGATACATATCAGGAGAAAAGAGGAGGAGAAAAAGGAAACAGGGCATAAGCGATAGTACTGTGTGAATAATTACAGGTAGTTTTTATTTTGTGCTTTAATTTTCCAGTTAGGTTTTCTATTCAGAGGTGGTCAGAGGGCAGAGCCTCAGTTCTCCCACCATGTTAGGATGGAGGTGTTTAATTTAAGCACTCAATAACAGAAAGGAGGTTAAAATTAGTATCATAATTGCTTTCCATCCCCCATAAACCAAGTAATGACTTGTTAAGGTTTATTTGGATTCAACACATTTTCTCACTTAAATTTTTTGAGCAAGTCAACCAAATTGTACCACAAAATTAATGTCAAAATTTGGTTAAATAAGCCTAAAGAGGCTCTGTTTTAATGGACAACTACTAGTAAATTAGATTAATGAACTGTAGAAATGGTGGCTATTAAAAATGTCTGAGGCAGGAAAGTACTGCTTGATTAAGAATTTCATATTCCACAGGTTAACTCATTATGATGCTGAATCCCTTTAGCTGTTATATGATTGAAGATGGTTCTTATCAATGTATTATGCTATGGTCATGTACAAGAATAACATTACATCAAACTTATATCAGGTATAAAGCAATAAAACATATATAAGAGAAGTTACGTTCAATGTTTGAAAATTACCAGATTATTTATCAATAGGGAATTCAGCTAAGTCATTTTTAATTTATTTTCATTTTTTGAATGGAGAAGTTGGGCTCCAATGGAAATGTAGCCCTTGGGCACTTGGGGAGCTCAACCTGTGCTGAAACCTCACTTGTATCTGCATTGCAAAGCACCTGGGTATGCATGGCATGGAAGTGGCACACAAGTGTGTAGCTATGTTGCTTTTGCTGAAATGGCACCTGGATCACTACAAGGTGGCTAAAGACACAAAGACAAAATAAAAAAGGGTGGTACATTGATTTTATGATTTTTTTTCATTTGGATTTGCTTTCAAATTTAGCAATGCATTTGTTCCCACTTTAACAGTCACAAATACACCTGGAAATTTCCACATGGGATTTGCTTGTTGGCAACTGCCAAACTGTATCAACTGGGATACAGGATGCCTGCTGAAGTACTGAATCCATTGAGCTTTTATTTTCTCCAGCAGGAAGTTCTATATGTTATACTAAAATAAATGGAACGTTAATTAGTTTCCCCTCTGTGCCACTCTTGTTCTCTTAGTTTTGTACCTTATGGGATGAACATAATTAATTCATCCTTCACTGTGGGTTCAACTTCTAAACTTCACCTAAATGACTCAGGCCTTTCAAGTGGATGTACTAGCAACCTAGCAATGCTCTGATCCAAGGCCCAGGTATTCTTGAAGTTCAGAATCCCCAGAGCTACAAGCACTATCACCACTGTATATAATCATCCTGTGCTAGATGATGACACCTTGGCCTCATTACTAGTGTAGAACAAGTTTTAAAGCATTTAAACACCACCGCAACCCCTTCTTGGAAAATAACACTATCATTGTGAATGTACAGATTGAAGATGAAAGAGAAGTTTTCCTGTGATGAATTTGATGGGAAACCAGGTCATCTCTCCAATTAGAAATTATTTACTCCACTAAAATGAATGACTAGTCAGTTTCCTCTTTTAAATAATTTATTATTACTGATAAAATATCAATTGTCACTATTTTCCTTTATTTGTTAAAAATTGCCACAATAATCTTTTAAATAAAAAATAATGCCTTATAGGAAGAAACTGAAATAAAACTTCTCATTAACAGTTCTGAAGGCTAAGAACTGAAAAGTAATTCTACCTGTATTCTTGAATAAATTATTTTGAAGATTTAGGAAATCAGTTGAAAAATATCAATCTGAAATGAATACTACATTTTTGAGATGGGGAAGGTTCTATCTATCATCTATTAATCTCTCTCTCTCTCTCTCTCTACATATATATATATATATATATATATATATATATATATATATATATTTGCAAACAAATGAGGTAGAGACATAATTTAACTCTACATTAGGGTTCCAAGTGATAACCTCACCAATTATTTTAAACAATATATAGATTCACAACTGCATCAGGTAAACAAGACTAATGTATATGGTTCCCAAATATTGTCATTTGTGACTCTGGTACCTCCATGAGCTGTACTGTGGACATTTATTTGTTGATGTAGCTGACTACTTATTTTTCAGGATGTGCATCTTTTTGTGTGACTTGAATTGTCTGTTCACGTGATTCTTGGGAAAGAAGCCTAACCAACTTTAAAAGATGTCATTAGTGTTCATAACAAAGCAGTGACTTTAGAAAAATGATATTTGTTTAATAAGCTTATCTTAATCCTGCTGTGAAATCTGAACACTTTCTTCCTTCTGACAATGCATGTCTCAGCCCTCCCCACTCAAAGCTCCCCCAGGGTCAGAACATCTACTGGAGGAACTTGGGAATGAATGCCACTGCACACAAAGAAATCACAAATCTTCGCCTATCCAGTGATTTTGCAAATGTCATTTGCATGTAGATTACATTGTTCTGGGTGCCAAAGATTAGTTGGTGCCCCTCACTTGTGAAAAGAATAAAAATGAAGCCTTTTTTCTTCTTACAGTTGGTATTAAAATGTGTATGTGGGAGAGGAGGGGTTGTGGGCATTATCAGCTCTCAAATGATACAAAACTAAAAAATTCTGTTTTATTCTTACATATGCCTTAGTTCCCTTTTTCCCTAGGCAACAAACTTTCTTAAGCCCAGAGAACACCATAAGGAAAATAAAATTACCCTCTATCCAGAAATCATAAAAACTTAGAGTAAAGAGAAGCACAGGGGGGAAAATTATGTTGCAAAGATATAAAGAGAATTAGGAAGAGAAAGTTGGACAACTGAGAATGGAACTCTTGCTACAATGAATTGTTATATACCTGGAAGCCGTTTTTGTTGTGCTCCTTTCCGGTAAGGTTAGTAATAGAAAGAGAACACAGCCAGGACACACTCGGGTTATTTATGCGTCTCAAAGGCAACAGCAGCCCATGCGTGTTTGGTTATCACAGCCAGGGAATGCCATTTCTCCTCACCCTTCTTACACTGCACAAACAGGACTTTTTTTCTGTAACCCCCTGCTGGGAATATTTCATACTTTAAATGCATTCTACCCCACTGGGCTAACATTTGAGTTCATTTTTAGTGACATCTGATACATAATAAACCACTTGATTATAAAGTGCCATCCTGTCATTTCCAAGTTCAGAACATTAGCTCCTTTGAAATTCCACTGTGTGACAGACACTTTGGGATGCTGGGGGTGCCCTGGGAAGATGGGTAGGGGGCCCAGACTCTACTGTGATCATTGTTCTGCATACCACTGGGCATAATTAGAAAAATGCTATTTTTTGCAATTGACATTTTTAGTGCTGAGTGATAACTGAAAATAATGAGGAGCTATTTTCACTTTTATGATGACTATTGCATTGGACAGGATTGAGCTCTTGGAAGTACACAGCTGAGTGATGACACATTGTTTTTTCCCCTAGGATCACAACTAAAGTTAAATTCTGAACACAGAAAGGGAACTGGGACTGTTCATTTAAACCTTTTGAAATCATCCCCAACATACATGCAACAAACCCTCTGCATCAGTGCAGACTGATTAGACCAAGTCTTTTTATCATCTACCCCACCCCCACCCCATCCTATATCCTTCTTCTAATCACTGCACCAAACAGAATTAAAACTTCAGTCTCCTCCAGAGTGGCCACTGACTTTCTCAATTACTCCTGCAATATACTGTGGTAAAGGGAAATATTCTCACCTAAAATTGCAGTTGGCACAAATGGGTCTGTCATACATCGTAAGCAGGTCAATGCAGAGAAAGTAAAAAGAGAAAGAACAGTAAATGATTGATGAAAGGTCCCCCATCTTCCCCCATGAAAGCCACAGAAAGCCTTAGGTACAGCACATCCAAAAGAGTGAGCTCCTAAAGCACCGCATGGCGCATGGCACTGTGGGAGGCTGATGGGTTCTGGCTGCCAAGGGGCCATGAAGAGATGAGAGGATGGAAGGATCTGTTACCTGGGTAATAGGAAGTAGGCACCGATGTGCTCAGTGTGTTTGTTTTCATTGTAAAGGATGATGGTGACGACACAGCTGTTGATAAAGGAAAAACCAAAAACAAAAATAAAAAGGTTGGTCAGAAGCTGTAGAGTCCTAAGACTTCACCTGAAATCACCTTGTTCTGAAATCACCTTTGTTTGAAATCACCTTGGTCTGAAATCACCTTGGTCACTCCAAGCAAGTGACAGGAAGAAACCTCCCATATTCACTGAGGGCCACATGGAAAATGCCGTCATCCCCAGGTGTCTCTGGGTAGTTACTTGTCGTCTTAGAGAACAAACAGTGCTTCGTCACTTAAAGACTTTCTTACCCAACAGCCCAGTAGATAAATGCAACACACCTCTATCTAACTTCTAGCTTTTCTTGCAGTAAGTCTGCCATTCTATGATGCTGACATTCAAGGCTTCTGAAGAACACTGGGGATGCCAGTGTTTTGCAGGTTACAAATTCCTGTCCTTCCTCACATTTTGGAAATGGAGAGAACTTTCCATACTGATGTGATTTGACTTATGAAAAATAAAGCTGATATTTAAGGTGAAAGCTGCATGTCTCTTATTAAATCCTTATAAAAATGTTTGTATTCCTTCAAAATATTCCTCTAAATCATTCAATGCTATCACACTTTCTCCTTATGTTTTTAAAAGAGAAGGTCAATCCAATCCGATTTATCCAATTCCAGTAAAAATGTCCAATTCCTAATTTTAAGGTAGTATTCAATTGTCTTCAATATCTTCACCGATTCATGATAACAGCACATAAATTTCATAAACGTCTAACAACTTAAATATGATAAGGTGGTTAAACATAAGTAACAGTATATATACTCCTCTGATGTCCTCACATGATTTATTTGATGCCAAGTGCTGGACCAGAACACTGATACCCAATTACACCATTATATTTATAGGAAGTGTCCCTGTGGACACTGTATAACTATTCTGATGACATGTTAACATATTTCAGCTCTCAGGAGTAGTTCCAGTGTTACAGTGCCTTTACCCGTGTTTATATTTTTAAAGGGCTAAATTAGTAAGTGATGGAACAAAGACCAGAATCCAGGCTGTCTGTCATTTATATGATATTTTTCCAAAGTACAGAATAATAATATATATAATGTATGTTTTACCTAGAAAAGATAATAACTGATGAAAATAAGAACCAAAATAACTGAGTACTTATATCAGGGTTAGTGAGAGTAACACCTCTTTAATATGAACAGAGAATTTTACATGATTGGCAAAAATGTGCAAAGCATATATGAAAAAAACTGTTTATTTTTGCCTTTTTGTTAAAACAAGAGAACATAAAATACATTTGTCTTTTATTATACAAGTTAAACCCATTCCCAAGTATGTTCTCCTTTTGTAGATATGATATGCTGTATTATATAAGCACAACTCATACTTGCTTTGGGGGACAGATTATTCCATACTTTTTGTAAATGTGTTCATGCTTACTTTGAAATTCTCCAGTCACATTTTTCTCACTGTCTCATTTCTAAAAGCAACTCAACTTAGTTTCTAGACTTTCTCCCAGCCTCAAAAGATATTGCACTTTTCAGATTTGTAATGGGGATGAGGTTGGCAGCCAGTGGTCTAATAAATGTTCTTCCTTAAAGTTCCTGCCCCGGTACTTTAGATCTAATTTTAAATACATTAATAGAATATTATGAAAAAGTTTACCATCAGGGATGAGACCCACTGACTGCTAAAAGAGTGAGAGGCAAACCGGAAGACTCCTGTGGCATTTCTTGGCTGGCTTTGAGGCATCAAACAATGCCAAATAGATCAACAGAGGCAGAGGGATGCCAGCTTCTACAGCCTTCTTTCCCTGATTTTTGATTTCCACAGAACCACTGTCTTACAAAAGTATTTCCTGTCCAGAGATGAATATCTCTGTGGTTCCAACCTCAAATGCCTTGAAGCTACTAACATAGGTTCCTACTCTTGGGGCAGGTCATTTCAAGCAAATTTATTCATGAGGAGTTTCACTATGAAATTAAAAGTTTGTAACCTTAGTGGGTTGGAAATGAGATCATATATCGCATCTGCATGGTTCCTTTCTTCTCTCTCACTCTTTGTTTTGTGCATGTGTGTGTGGTGCTAGGGATGGAACCACAGCCTCACATGTGCTACACAAACGTTCTAAGAATGAGCAACATTCCTAGCTCCTGTGTTCCTTACCTCCTGATGCTCAAGAAATAGCTGCTGCTACAAATATGTCAACCTGGTATGCTGCTCAAAGATTTTCTCTAACCTAAGCCCCCAACAAGTACAATATAGGCCATATATATTATAGCCATTAAATGTATTATATATGTGCTTTTAAAAGAAAAATGTAACATCTTCTACAAAGAAGCAGAGAGAATCCAATGATAAAATGGGAAGCAGTTTGTGGTATAGTGAAAAACCACAGCTTCTATATTAGTAAAATGATACTGAAGGGCAAAGAAAGGCCATCAAAGATGCAAACCGAGCAGACCAGGTGTGTGTGGAGAGCACATAAATGTGGGAGGAAAATGTGGGATTACTGTAGCCACTATGTACATAACAAGTAAGAGAATGAATTCTATGAAGTCTCAAAGACTGTGGGAGCAATTCGAGGCTGGGAGCAGGCACAGGCATTGACCATGCTGTGATTGAGAGAGGAGTGGATGGAGAGCCACAGCACCTGAATAGGCTGCCTTGTGCACTCAGGACACCAGGACACCAGCTCGCACTGTCCAAACTCTCCCAGACACTCTCTCTGCTCCTCTGCTCCACCAGCCTTTATGTGCATTTCTTAGGTAACAGCAATGCTGCACTCTCCATCTCCACGCTGATCAATGACCTGATTATGCAGCCGGGGTCAGTAGCAGTCTGCAGGGACAGATTTCACACAAAAGAAATCTCTGACCTTGAACTTGATGAACTTGTGCTGTGGTCTATAAAACCAGCCATGGCCATGTGATTTACCTGTGGTATCTGAGATCATAAGGGGACCAAACAACTGTTCCATTTTTACATCATATAATCAATCTAATTGTTAGTTTCTTGAAATAATGCCGTGTACCTGGATCACAGGTGGAAGCAAGGGAAGGTATTAGCCTAGCTCAGTTTACCCACCTGGTGTGAGGTTTAAGGCTTGTGAAGTTGAAATGCGGTTTAATTTATTAATTACCACTCATAGCCCTATAATGAAGGCAGAACCTGCCAGCTAAACAAATAAACAATTAACTTGTTACTGCCATTTAGCAAACTGTTTTACAACAGGCTTCCCTTGTGCAATTCCACACCTGGCTTGCTTACAAATGGGACCTAAACAAAGAAAAGGATGATGAGAAACAGGTGCCTCCTCCTCAACTGGAGGAAACCTTCCTGTCACTGCTCTGGAAGAATTTACAGACTGTGGTTTCCTGTGGTCTCTGACCTGGTCCTATCAACCTTAGAAAATTTTTGCTAGGCAAACCATGGTGTTTCCAGACCAGTTAAAGTGAGTGGAGAGAGCAATATGACATAACAATTCTTTTAGGTTAAAAGAAAAGTCTTTTTTTTTTCTTTTTGGTTTATTTTTTAATCCCTCAATGCTACCTGGAATCTCAGAAAGCCATTGGGTGCACTTACATCTCCCATTTAGATTGTGTGTGTCCATGAAGGAGAAGGCTTCATCGCAGCTTGTGCCTTGCTCTGCATAACTCTTGTCCATCGAGTTCACCATCACAGTCATCTCCTGCCGGGTGCTGCTCATAGTCTCCTTCCGCTTCTTGGCTAGTTTCCTTAAGGACAAAGAATTCAATTATGTAGACATGCATGTGAATGGAAACTGGAGATCTGGTGGCACATTGAACAATGTTCAGGAATAAGCTCTACTGAAACAATTTTACACATTCATGATTCATTGATTTATGTGCCTTGTGTCAGGTACTCTGCCAGGCTACACACATACAAATGAAAAACATGCACTGCCTGTCCTCAAAAAATGAAAAAAAAATCCAACCTAAAACATTGTGTTTTTCCTATTATAAACTAAATTAAAATGACCAATAATACTTGTACTATGAGGTCATCATTGTTTATTGATATTCTCTTAGAGATATTCACTTATTACTGAATTATTATTGATATTGCTACATACAGTTTTGAAGAGAAGATTCTAATAAATATTTGCAGACAGATTTGAACAACAGGTGCTCCTTGGCTTATGTTGGGGTTACATCCCAGTAAACTAAAGAGGTTATATGTTCAAAATGCACTGACTATACTCAACAAATGAACATCACAGCAGGAATATTTAGCATGGTTAATCATGTTGCTTCCTCTGTCAGTGGAAAATCATGCAAAAAGGCCCAGGACAGTATTCCCTGCATCCTGCTCACTGACCAGCTGAATCTCATAATATAAAATCATAGCAACCTATATAAAAGCCACAAAAATCTAAGGAAAACTTAACATAAATAAACGGATAAACCCATTTTTTACAGGTCTCACTACTACCAGAGGTTTTTTTTTATGTACCCAAGACAGACAAGAATAGAATTCAAGTTGCTAAAGGAAGAGGGATAAAGTGAGGTTTAAGAAGACCACAACCCTAACATAACAAAGTCCCCATATCTGAAGATATTCAAATTCTGACCAAGATCCTAGTAGCATTTACAAAGAAAAAAAGCAATAGAAGCTATTTCCAGTAAATCATCTTGACACTGGTTGACCTAGAACAGAACAGAATTAAAAAATGGGCCATGTAATCAAAATTGTACCCATATAAGGTGATTATGAATGGAATGGAAGGAATCACAACATTAGACCATATGGATAATCTTTATTATCATTTCCAAATAATACATAATCCAAATGCTTTCTTGCCTGTAGTTATAATCATCTTTTAATTTCATACTTTGAAGGCAAAAGGCTTTCATTAATAAGTTGCCCTTTTAATTGCAAATAGGTGATGGGAAAAGAGATCATTTTTAAACAGATAATTGGAAGTCACCTATAATGTCTCTGACAGTAAATTGAAACATCCTATGTTCAAGGGTGATGTTATAAAGATTTTGAAAGGTCAGGTAGGGTGACTGGCACCCTTCTCTTGACACCTGCAGATCACCTTCCCCATGGAAGATAATCTTCTCCTCTTTCAGCCATGCTGGTGTGGAGTCAAAGTCTGCGCTTGCCTGTTCTTGAAATTTTATTATTTGGGAATATTATTTGTTCTTATATGCTGCTCAAAGTTCTCATGCATAATTACAGATAGTTAAGGAAGGTTAAATTTAGAACTGAAGCTGGGTTATGACTGTGGATCAACTGGAGGTTCCTCCTACTCCCCCCTCCTCATTGAACCTTGTATTATTCTTTTAAGTTGAAAACCCTGAAACCTACTAGAAAAACTTTTGAGAACTTATCTTTGTAAACATATCTAAACATTCAGTACATCTATTCCTGTTTTTATTTTCAAAAACTGGTTTATCTGAAATATTTTAATCTGCAATCTCCAAATTTGTACTCCATGAATCAGAAAGGGTATTAGTAATTAAAAAGAGAAGAAGAAAACAAAAGGAAAAAAATGGTTTGTATCAACATCTATAAATAGATTATAAAACCATTGAGAAAGGACTTGCAGCTTCCAGTCTGGCACAAAGAGAGCTTGGAAGTCATCACCCCATCCTAAGAAGTAAAAGCTGGACAAATTGAAAATCAGCAACTCTTCTTATATCTGTCAGAGACTTGAGATCACAGAGCAAACAACTGCCTCCAAAATTGGAAAATCCAAAGTAAATACAATGACAACTTATGGGAGTCAAAGTCCATGAAGAAAAGCAAGAACCACTACAGGGTCAGGATGACCTAAACCATCATTGACCAAGTGCTGGAGGTGCTCTGTGGCCCAGGCTTAGAGTGAGAAACGCCAGGGACCTGAGGGAAGGGTGGGGGGAGGATGACTAATCTTTAGGGGTCTCCACACTTTTGAGAGTTAAACCTCCATGAGCTTTCACCATGTTCTCACAGTGATGATCAGAAGCAAATCCCTTCATGCTTTTAGCAGGATGAAATGGAAAGTGGCCATTTTGAAATATGCCAGAGCATTGGTATATGGTTTGGATATGAGCTGTCCTCCCAAAGATCCTATTAATTAAACAGATGAAATGATTTAGTTTATGAGACCTGTAACCTAACCAGTCCATCCTAATTTGAATGGACTAATTGCATGGCAACTATAGGCAGGTGGTGCATGGGTGGAGGAGGTGAGTTTTTTGGGGTGTTCCCTGGAAAGGCTCATCTTCCCTACAGCCCCTCACTCTCTTCCAGGCCACCATGAGGTGAGCAATGCTCCTCCACTACACACTTCCACTATGATGTTCTGCCTCACCTTGAGACAAAAGCAATGGAGTCAGCTGATCATTAACTAAATCTCTGAAATCATAAGCGCAAAATGAATTTTTGCTCCATTAAGTTGTTCTTGTCAGGTATTTTGGTCACAGTGACAAAAAGCTGACTAAGCTTTTATACAAGGCTTTCCCTTAAGGAAAATATTTTTCCAGAGCTAACCTGCTGAAATTTTATTAGTACCTAACTAATAAGGAGGAAGGGAAATACCAAACTCCGCCTCATGTTAACCATTGTGTCCCATCTAAGGGTGAAGGTGGGGAGACCTGAGAAAATCTGTGAGTTTATCGTCCAACAGCATGCTCACTAAAAGTCTGAGAAAAAATTAGCACTTTAGAACACCTCCCCTGTTCCCTTGTTATATTTAAAGGTCTACTTACTGAGGTCCTTTTTATCCGATATATCATGTTTATTTATCAAGGAAGAACTACAAGGTATACTAAAAGACAAAATTAGAGTTTGAAGACTCAGAGCAAACATCACAACCAGACTATAATATGGCAGAGATTTTGAGAATTTAAAATAACCATAATATGCTAATGTTAACAACCTTAATATGTTAAGGGCTCTAATAGGTTAAGTAGACAGCATGCAAGAACAGATTGGGCAACATAAGCAAAGAGATGGAAATTTTAAGAAAGAACAGAGAAGAAATGCTAGTGATAAAAAGCATTGTAGCTGGGCACAGTGGTGCATGCCCGTAATCCCAGTGACTGAGGCTGAGGCAGGAGGATCCTGAGTTCAAAGCCAGCCTCAGTAAAATAGATGTGCTAAGCAACTCAGTGAGACCCTGTCTCTAAATTTAAAAAAAAAAAAAAATCACAAAATAGGTTAGGAATGTGGCTCAGTGGTCAAGTGCTCTGGAGTTTAATCTCCAGTACTCCCCCCCCCCCCACCAAATCAACAAACAAATTAACACTGTAATGGCAATGCAAAATGCCTTTAATATGCTTATTAGTTGATTTGGTACTGCTGATAATGAATTTCTGAGCTTGAGGACATGACAATAGGAACTTCCAAAACTGAAAAGCAAAGGAAAATGACTGAAAAAACCAACCAACCAACCAAAAAAAAAAAAATTAAAAAACTGTGGGACAACTACAAAGGTGTAGGAGTGCCAGAAGGAGAAGAAATAATGGAATAGAAGAAACATGTGAAGAATCGATGACTATTTCATAAAATTCATGTCAGATGCTCAGAGAACACCAAATAAGATAAAAGCCAAAAAATATCTACACCTTGGCGTATCACATCAAACTGCAGAAAGTCAAAGATGAAAAAAAAAATTTCCTGACAGAACCAGATGGACAAAACCCCTTCTTATAGGGAAAAAATTAAGAGTTACATTGAACTTTTCAGAAACCACACCAGCAAGAAGAGAGTGAGTGAAATATTCAGTTGTTTTTTTTTTTTTTTTTAAAGCCATCAACCCAGAATGTAATATTCTTTCTTTATTTCTTTTTTTTTTTTTTGGTACGAGGGTTTGAACCCAAGGGTGCTTAACCACTAAGCCACATTACCAGCTTTTTATTTTATTTTATTTTTTGAGACAGGGCCTCACTAAATTGCTCATAGCCTCACTAAGTTGCTGAGGCAGACTTAGAACCTGCAGTCCTCCTGCCTCAGCTTCCTGAGCTGCTGGGATTACAGGTATGTGCCACCACACCTGGCCAGAATATTGTATCCTATGAAATTGTTCTTCTAAAGTGAAGAAATGGATTCTTTCAGAAAAAAAAAATTGAGGAAATTTGTTGGTAGTTTGCCAATCACCTATCATGCCTGGAACAGGAGAAATCATGACAAAATACACACCTATGAGCAAAATGAGAGCCAGTGGGTGAAACTTTATGAACTCAAGGACCACAACAGACACATCACAGGTATTGACTGAGTTCATAAGTACAACTGCATAGTCACTTACAGGGTAGACCACACTGTCTGCCTATAGCCAGAATGATGTTGTCTGGAAGCCAATTGTGGTGATCCTCAAGATTACTTGCAGAGCCACTTTTGTGAAATGGTCTTCTCCAGAGAACAAATTTGCTAGGGCTAGCAGAGCAGTGACTCATTTTTGTTTGTTACTTTGAATCTGAAAATGACTAGTGGGTAAACAAGCATATTTAAAAGCAGATATAATACATGATCCTCAAGTGGGATTGGCATCTCACTAAGGTTTTGTTGGCAGCAGGATTCTGCAACTTCAAAAGCAGTGCTTTATGCTTACAATAAAGAAGTGGATGAAAAGTGGCCTTTTGGTCAGCTATGTCAGATTCTGGTGGCAGAGGCACCAGTAACTGAGCCTACTAGGTCATCTGCTCTGCCAGTAAGAGTTGCCTGGCCTGGGTCAGACATGAAAGCACCGTGTCCATTTCTGATGCCTCAAAAAGTACAGGTC